ATTTTAATATACATGTAGTTAATTATGAAACTTAATAGTTCAATGTTTATTGTGATGTACTTCAGGTGCACGTTCACTGAATGATTTATTTATGCTTACAAGTTGCTCTTCCGGTGAAAACAGGTTTACAAAACCCATTGAAGAAGTGGTCACTTTCACTATAAAAGTTGTAAATCTCACTGTGTGTTTTGTAAAATTCAGTGTGAAATTTTATTGGTTTTTAGAAACAAGTTGCTCATCCCCTGAAAAGAGGTTGCAAAACCCATTTAAGAAGTGATCATTTTCACTAAGAAAGTTGTAAATCTCACTACATGTTTTGTAAAATTCAGCATATAATTTTATTGGTTTTTATAAACAAGTTGCCAATCCCTTGAAAACATGTTGCAAAACCCATTGAAGAAGTGATCATTTTCACTATGAAAGTTGTAAATCTCACTATGTGTTTTGTCAAATTCAGCGTGAAATTTTATTGATTTTTAGAAACAAGTTGCTCATCCCCTGAAAAGAAGTTGCAAAATTCATTTAAGAAGTGGTAATTTTCATTACAAAAGTTGTAAATATTACTCTATGTTTTGTAAAATTCAGCATAAAATTTTATTGGTTTTTAGAAACAAGTTGCCAATCCCTTGAAAACATGTTATAAAACCCATTGAAGAAGTGATCATTTTCACTACGAAAGTTGTAAATCTCACTATGTGTTTTGTCAAATTTAGTATGAAATTTTATTAGTTTTTAGAAACAAGCTGCCCATCTCCTGAAAACAAGTTGCAAAACCCATTGAATAAGTGGTCATTTTTACTATGGAAGTTGTAAATCCCACTATACGTTTTGTCAAATTTAGCGTGAAATTTTATTAGTTTTTACAAACAAGTTGTTTATCTCTTGAAAACAGGTTGCAAAACCCATTAACAAAGTAGTCACTTTCACTACAAAAGTTGTAAATCACAATATGTATTTTGTAAAATTCATAATTAACTACATGTATAGTGAAATTTACCATTCACATAATGAGATTTACCAAAAACCAGCAGGCATATGACAGCAGTTACGTTACGTAATTGCTTGCCATTGTTTTCTGATTTTCGCTTCATCTTTCCCACAGGTTCATCTTTCCCACAGCTTCACATTCTCTGAAAATGGTTTTATGCGAAGAACAGAGACAGAACCAAATTTTAAGCTGTGGGAACCCATCGAAAATCAGCGTCTTCCTCTCTCCTTCCTCTCTTCTTCCCAATTTCATCAGCGTCTTCCTCCTCTCTCCTTCCCGTATTTCATTAGTGTCTTCCTCTCTCCTTCCTCTCACTTCAGACAGGGCATTTTGGTCTTTTGGCCAAAAATCTGAATTCCAGATTGGTACCCAGTCCCCTATATGTCATTTTGCTTATTCAGGTGCCTTATTTGTCTTTTTGAAATTCAGGTGGTATTTTATTGTCATTTTCCCAATATTTTATAAGGGAATAATATGACAGAAAAAAATTAGAGCTCCTAGGTAAAATGAGAGCTCCTAGTCCAAAAAAACGAAGAAAGGAATATGAGGGAATAATATGGCAAAAGTGAGAGAAAAATTAATGGGGGGAATAAGCTCTGACACATCACAACAGTCCAATAAGCTCTTCAAAAATAAGCTCCTTCTTCCACCAGCTTCAAGAAAATGCACAGTGCAATGAGCTTATGAAAGATAAGCTCAATCAGGCATAAGCCCTCCCCAACTGCACTCTATTTCTCAATCGAGCTTCTGTCTAAAATAAGTAACTTTTAACCCAAACTAAGCCCTCCCAAACAGGCATTGAGTATATTCTACTCGACTCAATCATTATTCATTTATTTGCCATTTTGGACCCAAAAAAATCATTATTTGTCATAGAAAATATAGAGATGATTTTGTACCTCATGGCTCATGTAAGGTAGTTGGAGAACTTAAAAAAATTTTAAATGCTTAATTAACAATATGGTCTTCACTCAGTCGAAAAATTAAACAGGTTTTACATACTTTTACATATATTAGATAGACTAATTGCAATTCTAGACAACTCGTTAAGACATTATTTACAAAAACGAAGAGATATACTAAACTCAAACAACCGAAGTCACAAACTAATAACGATCTGAGGATTATTCATAAAAAAAAATAACGACCTCATTTAAACAAATGCGAGACCATTTGGTCTTCATCGCCATTACACACACACACACGCACAAAAGTTATTATCTAATCCCTGCCTGCATATGATCTAATTCCTATCTGGATTCTACTTGACAACTCTTTTATATTAAATTAAACACACACATATAAATATACGTATAAATTAGACATGACGTACGAACTATATAACCATAAATATCATGATGATGAAAACAAAAACAAAATATCTAATATAAGTGATAAACGCTACCACCTCCTATTTCCTTAATGTAAGAGCTAATTGGGGGTTAAATTTAGTCCAAAATATATGACATCAAACCACTTTGTTTCTCATCTTTTTCTATAATATTCCTATTGATTGTAAATAATTCCCATCAAGTGATGATTCCAATCATCCAATATATATGATTAAATATAATAGTTTAGGAAAACCAACATATATTTGTGATAAATAACTACCTTAACTAATTTTCTTAATATCCCTAAATTAGTTATCTAATTTTCATACTCCTTCAGTCCTTAATGTAGGATATAATTTGAGAGTTAATGTTAGACCTATATGTAAGACCTATTTTACATGCTTATTAATTTTTTTCAAATTAACTCTATTAATTTTTTTTCAACAATAATCAAATAGGAAAGAGATAAAGGGAATTAAGGAATATGATTATGATGTTTTAACAAAAAACATACTATCTCTAGTCCTAATTATAAGAGCTAGTTGACCAATTTGAGGAGATTAAGGAAAAAAATTTAGTTATTTGTAAAAAAATAGGTATTGTCTTTCCTAAAATATCCTTACTAATAAAGTGTATTGGCTAAAACTACCATTGTTAGAAGGATTACTTTGAAAAAAAAATACACAAATAATATGAGAGACAAAATGGATTGTGGTCTTATATTTAGGACTAAAATAAAAGTCAAACAAGATCTTATATTAAGGACCGGAGGTAGTATCATATTAACGAATTTAACATACATTATTAATCTATTCAAATTAGTTAATTAGATCTTATATTAATAATCGGAGGAGTATTAAAGATGGGGGCTAATATATTATATTAATTGCTGTTTCAACGTGTACTAGCTGGCCTTGTGATTAAATTTACCAATGTTGGTAAATTAGGCCCCTGTTGGCCCCTACTCAAAAGGAAATTTTCTAGACGTACGCACTTACATTAGCCAATCACAGGGAACCCTAAGCAGTAGGAGATAAGACACAGTAGAACTGACAACAAAAATCGTACTGCATGTTTTATGAACTGTCAATATATATAGATATCTGTACGTACCTCTATCTTCAATCTAAAAGTTGCTTCATTGATGGAATTCCCTTGTGCTATATGTGTGGTTAGGGCTGAACATGGACCAGACCGGGCCGGGCAGGGCATTAGCCCGTGGTCTGGTCCGTTTTGGTCTTCGGGCTAGTCACCCCAGTCCGAAGACCGGTCCTGCCCGGTGAGGAACCCGTTGTTCCTCGGGTTGGGCAGACTGGACCATATTGGACCGGGTTACTGGTCCAGTCCAGTCCAAATCTATATCCCTTCCTTTTTTTTTAACTCCTAATTAATAATTTTTAATCTATTACATAAAAAATTCCTATCTACTTGTCCTAAACAGAGTAACATCATAAGAATACCAAATTTCAAATAGCAATAACTTTAAAACAATCAATCCATATGATGATTTTTGAATGCTTGATACAGCTGTTGTAACTTTTGAAAAATAGGTTAAAGTATACATTTATTTATGAAATATTTGCCAATGTGCACCTGATACAATAAATTCTACTCGGCTGCAAAAATACGAAAATCTTTTTTCTTTGAAATGAGCAAAAATACTATAACTGTTAATTTAACTTAATGTCCATTGCTTTTTTTTTTTTTTTGACTAGCAATGTCCGTTGCTTTTTGGAGGTGAGGCCCATGTTGTTTTCCATTTGAAAAAGTAATAAACATTAGGTTAAATCAACGGTCGTGACATTTTTGGGAATGAACGCTGACGCTGATGCGGTGTGGGATGCCTGATGGAGTGATTAGTGATGCTATGAAGTGCGATGGTATGATTTTTGATGGATTCAGTGTGGGCAAAGCCACATAATTGGATCTGAGCCAAAAAAAAAGAGACTTTATTATGGGTCTGAATCAGAAATGGACATGGACTTATTAGAAAAAAGAAACTATAATATGGGCTTCCTATGCAGCTTTTTTTTTACATCTCACAAAAAATGACCGGGTAGGACCAGGTTACTAGTCCACCATGTCTACCCGTAACCCGGTCCTACCCGGTCTTCGGGTTAGACCTGGTCTGGCCCGAATTTGACCGGGCTATTTAGACTGTTTCAAAAATTGAACCGGGTGAGGCCGGGTTGGACCGGGTTTACCAGGTTATCGGGTTTCATGTGCAGCCCTATGTGTGGTTGCGTCCACAGAAATTAAGCTCACTTTCTGAACCTTTCTCAAAAATTCCAATAGGGGACTCACTATATTATTGACCTGCAGAAAGTTTGTTTGTCTTCTTACAGTCACGTGTAGGTCGGTGAATCTTTCTTCTGATGAGCTCCAACCTGCCACATCTGAAACCCTTACGCTCAATCTTTCAGCTGATGATGAACAACTGGTTTTGGTTTCTTGTCTTGTTAATAATAGTTATTTCCCTTCCGTTTTTGCCTTCACTTGCTCTTCTAATTTTTTGGCCATCTTTTCATTCTCAGCCATCAATGAGCTTAATGTCTTCGTTGCTGCTATAAGTATTTATGCTTTGTCTTTCTGCACAACGAAAATTCAATTGCTGCTATAGGTCACTTCCAACATTTTCATGAAAACCAAAGAGAGGTTTAAAGCTTGTAATTTTGCCCTCAGTAAACCCATTCTTTGAGAAGCCAAAGAGCCTTTGAAAAACACAAATGAATATATTGAATAAGAGCAACTTGAAGAGTAATATACTTATAACCCTTAATATACGATCTAGATAACTAATTTACAAAGATTAAAAAAATTAACTAAGCTAGTTTTTTGTAATATATGCGCATTTGTTTTTCTAAAATACTCCATTTAATCATTTGTATTGGAAATTACTCTTATAAATGAAAACTCTGATGAAAACTCCTTAGTATGTACAATCAGCAAGATTGTTTAGCAAAAGAATTATAAATAATATGTGAGATAAAATGGATTAAAGCATTACATTTTGAATCAAAACAAATATCTCAATTAACAACTATATTTAGATCAAAGGAAATAATAAATACTATCTCTAGTTCTTAAAATAAGATCTAATTTATAGTTCAAATTCAGTCCTTAATCTAATTTGTAGATCTTATGTTAAGAACTAACGTGGTATCTCGTATGGTAAAGAGGAAAAATTTCTCCTCTAACTGTTTTATAAAAATGAGTCGAGGTTGTATGCATATAAGCAGTAGTCGCTATGAACTTAGAAGCTAAGATAATGGAAAGTTCATAAAGAAATTAAAATCAGAAGATTTTACTGAGAGAATAATATATATAAGCTTGGTACGTATTCATACGAACGTACCTTGGTTTCTGGAGGGAGCAGTGATTTAAGTGCCTCAAAATTCCGATTTAGTTTCTCTCGCCTTCTTCGTTCTGACATCACATGAAGGAACTGGCTGCCAATGTGACAAGATTGTTCATTATTCCCCCTCGTTCTCATAAAATATAAGCCTCTAAGCAGTTCAAAAGATCTCTTGAGCAAGCTTTGCCTTCGCAAACTGGGTTTGTAATGACCCATTCGAGAAGGCCTGTAACTCTTGAAAGCACTAACTCTTTCTGGAATTACAATATTAGGCGGATCTTGCTCAAGTACTAAGCTTGAATTATTATTAGAAGAAGGCGAAGATTTAACATGAAGAATTGCTTTAATAACGCCGTTGTGGTCATTCTCTTGCTGCAGAAGCATTTCAGGCACCAAAGCTGAATAGGAGAAATGTGTATCGGAGCTGCCTGTAGATAGTGATCTCAGACAAGATGAAGATGAAGGTAGAATCTTCTGTTCAACTTGATGGGACTGTACAGAAATTCTTCTGGAAACCAGTAGTACGTGCACATCTGTTTGAATCTCAGCATCCTGCACAAAAAAAACAAAAAGATTAAAAAAAGGGAAAGAGATCAATTCAAACAACGAACGAGATTAAATTCATTTGGCAGAGAATAAACATACGTTACTGACGTGAGAGACACATGAGAATCCGAGCTCAATTTCCCCATTGCCACAACCTATGAAAACAGCTGTCTGTAAAAAAGGAAAATCAACATTATTAGTATGCTTACCAAGTTTAGGTTTCCTCTTATCTTATACTACCTCCGGTTCTTAATATAAGACTTTGTTTGACTTTTATTTTAGTCTTAGATATAAGACCTCAATCCACTTTGTTTCTCGTATTTATGTATTTTTTCTCAAAATAATCTTTCTAATAATGTTAGTTCTAACCAATATATTTGATTAGTAAGGATATTTTAGGAAAGACCACGTATTTATTATAAGTAACTAACTTAATTTATTTTTTTAATCTCCACAAATTAGTGAACTAGTTTTTATATATAAATAGGACCGGAGGTAGTATATGAAAATACTAGCTGGTCTTGTTCAGCAACAAACCTCAATCCTTGCTTCCCGCCAAAAACATGTATATTAAAAGCGAGTTTTGTTAGCCAACATTACCGCAAATATATATTTGTCTGGTAAATTTGCTTCAACCAGGAAAGTCGCCAGTTAATTACCTGAAAGAATTGTCTTTTTATATCTGTCCATGCCAGTTGCAGGAGATCGGATTGTTGCAGCTCTAGGAAAGAATATCGGTTCCAAAAAGCCAGTCCTGGAACGCGGCTGATAAAACAGGAAGCCAAGTAATTGGAGAGGGAACTGGAGGCATGTACATTTTACTGATAACAATCAGCTAGTGAAATATTCTGATGGACACAGGCAGCGAATTTAATTAGCTAGCCTTACTTTTCAGAAGTGACATCAAATTCCAAACCCCTATATTGACCAAAAAGCCTTCGATCAACACACCCCAGAGAAGAGCTTGCTTGATGGCTTCTTACGTCATATAAACCATCCATGAAACGGACAAAATCAACCAAGCAAGTGAAAATTAAGCCCCAGAAATTGAAAAAGAACATGCGTGCGTGCGTGTGAAGATTATCTACGTATTTACACACACACACACACACACACCCCTATCTATCTAGTTACTTGGATGATGAACTATAGGACCAGAGGCGAATATAGGCACAGCCATAAGAGTGAAATGCAGATTGTAAGAAATCAAGTCTTGCAGCTTCTGAGAAGGAGAAGACACTGTCCATGGATTGGACGTACAGTAGTGTATCATATGAGGTTGTTGATGATGGTAATCTCGGGTTTCTTCATCATTATTTATCAGAATCACAGAGTGTAGTAGCAGGATCCAGTCATTTTACTCTTAGCGTATGGAATCTGTGCCGCGCTTTGTTATGTGATTGGCTTGGTTCACCGAATGTTGGCAAACCACAGATATCTTTCTTATAAAGGTTAAGTTGCATATAAAGAAGCATTGTATCCCCAAAATTATAATTTTAAAAACAAATGGAACACGATCGATGAAGTTAACCTCCATGCAATATTTATTTATGGATCGACGAGTTTATATAAAAGGTGCATCAACTGTGTTATATTAACATTATCACTGCTTAAATGTTCATGAAAACATAACATTATATTGTATTTAGAAGTTATAATAAAAAGGAATACTATCACTTAATCTCATAATGGCTGTAGACAGGTTTTGAGTATATAATTTTGGTTTCATGTTAAAATATTTCTCATTTTAAAATCCCAATGAAGTATTAATTATATATTAACACTTTTACCCCTGATTAATAAAATACAGTCATTTAAATACTCCAGCTGGTATCGTTACGGTACAAAATAAAACAAGGACATTTTAACTATAGGGTTAATTAGAGTGCACTTTTGTTCCGTACGTATGGGTACCCTGAAAAAATTGTAGAAATAACACTTTTATATGCTGCATTACTTTACAATTTTCAAAGCTAGGTACTCAAATTTGCAAGAATTTTAATTTTAGTTCTTTTAGTTTCAAAGCATAGATACACAAAATAATTTTTAAGGTAAAACTGCATTCCAAAAAAAGACCATGAGTAAAAGTGCTCTAAAAATAAAATTTGCACCACTAAAAAATTCGGATATTGAGTGTACTTGACAAATAAAAATACTTTTATCTTGAAAATAATTTTTGTACTATTTATGGTTCTTAATATAAAAATTTATTTAATTTTTATTTTGATATTAAATATAAGACTCTAATTTACTTTGCCTTTACATTTATTTATTTATTTTCTAAGGTAGTCCTTATAATAATGATAGTTCTAGTAAATACACTTAATTAGTAAGGATATTTTAGGAAAGACAATATTTATTTATATAAATAACTAACTTAACTAATTTCTAAATATACTCAAATTAGTTAATTAGCTCTTACTACCTCCTATCATAATTATAAGACCTCGTTTGTAGATTGTAAATGAAGTCTTATAATTAGAAGCAAAGGTAGTATATTAAGAATCACAGGTAGTACATCCATGCAAAAAATTTCTTTTAGTATCCTAAAAATAGAACCAAAAAATGTCTTCTTTATTTACCTTATAAATAGAACCAGAAGAGTAACCTATAGAGGTCATCGAGGGTTAATTTTGTCATTTGAAGCATTTTGAACTTCAAATCAAAGGGGTGTTTGGGTATCAAGAAAGTGCTTTTTAAAAGCACTTTTCAGTAAATCAAGATAAATTCTTTATATATTTACTTCATATACTGTAAATCACTTTTAAAATTATAACTTTGATTCCATTTAAACACACAAATGGAGGCGGATTAAAACTTGGGAACGTAGCAAAAACCAGAAATGCACGAAAATTCAGCAACAATTTTCCCGGCCCTTTCTCGATCATCCTTTCTGTCTATTTTATTTTGTGGTTGGTTTTTGCTTTACGTATATAGCTAAATAATGGTGTTTGGCGAAACATTCTAGCTTTGTTGTCACTTAGAAACTCTTTTTAATTGAAAAAATCCCGCCAAAAAAAACCTAAAATTATTAAATTTCAAATCGGAATTATTTTCTACACTTTAACGATTTTAAATACTCTTGACTTACAAATAATAACACATTTTTGTGATAATTTTTTATTTGAGATTTAGTAATTTTTATACTTCTTTCGTGGATTTTTTCCTCCTCAATTATATGTTATGCATAGATATAATCTCCTTAGTTTTGAAATTTTACGGTGAATCCTCGTAAACTATTACATTTACGTAGAGAACCCCTACTAATAATTTTGTTTATTATTTATCCACACACACACGTGTGTGTGTGTGTAAGTTTAGGGGTTAACATGCACATAACTTAGAGCTCAAGGGGATTGTACATGCAAAAATATGATTTAAGGGGATACATAATTGATGGTTAGGGTTTATCCATACAAACTGAAATTAGATGGTTTTGTTGCTGATTTTTAAGGGTTAAGGGGTTTTGAAGCAAAAATAGAAAAATTCTCTTGGGAAGCTCAGTAGGATTAGGTCAAAGAGTGTCTACAGAAGTATTATTTATAAATCATTTATTAACAAAGTTTTCATATTTGCAAAAACGAAATTTAAACTCATAATCTTTATGAGCTATGGGTGAATTCTTTATTAACTGAATCAATTTTTATTAGCAGGAGTCTTTTTGTTTTTGTTTTAACCCATTTTGACCTGATGTAGCTCTGCCAAATTCGGTTGGCCGTCCCGCGTTAGTTGTGCGACCATACCACGCGCAGCCACCGTCAAAATTATATTTAATTAACATGTAGCTTTCATTATTTTATAAAACGATAAAAAAAATAGAAAAAAGGGTTTTTAGTAATCAGTGGTACGATGATTAAGATTTGGATAGGATGAAGGGATTCGCCTGCTGAACCTTTTTTTTTTTTTTTACTGGGGTTTGGTACAATGGTAAAAAGATCACTTTTTGTCTTTAACGCTATTATTGAAGACAAGAAATGGCCGCAGCGGCCAACGAATGCTGAAATTCGCAGAAACCAAAATTAACTTACAAAACTTGTGAGTTTTGATTAATACATAGGTTTAATACTTCTTATATATAAGAAATAAATAAATAAATAAAGATGAAAAAAATTAATCAGAGTATTAACTAAATAACTCTTCATAACATTTATCACAGCATAATTTTTTAACAAAAATGTCTGAAATAATTTTGATTTTTTTTACCAAATATCTAGTGACGCTCCAATTTATATTTAATGAAGGGCATGAGGGAAATTTTTAACAGATACCAGTAAAGTGAACATGGAGATTTTGATTCTGTCTCTCTCTCTCTTGCATGTAAGGAACAAGTTGCATTGAATTAACTTTAGCAATTGAATTACCAATGAGACAAAATATAAGAACCACATAATCAATTTTCTTTAAGTTTTTTTTTTAATCATTTCCTATTAGCTGCACCAGTCTCTATATATGTTTCTTATTGTCGATTCCAATTATTCGAAACACGCATGCCAAGAAATTATAATCTAGTTGATGTGTAAAAATATTTTTAATTCTACCGGCAACCTCAACTAAATGCTACATAAGAAAGTCTCCATCTTTAAATATCTAAGAGTGAGGTATTTTCTATAAGGGGTATTTTTTTAAAATACGCCTTGATTGCATATAGAAATCTAAGACTTATATCTAGTGACAAAACAAATATCACATTGGCAAAACAAATAATGGTGCCACATTTTGATATATTTATATGGGTAGTCCCACATGTTGACTTCATGTTCCGATAATCTTAAACTTAGAAACTGCATATGAGACATCTCCCGGATATTTCCTTTGCCTTCAGTAAACTATTCTGACAGCTGTTTTTCTTGAGAAACAGGTTGGTTTTGCTTTAATTTATGGAATTGGCCGGGTTGCACATATAGGAATGAGGTTTAACTTTATTCAAGGGGCATAGTCCAAATCCTGATCTTGTTTGAATTTTGCAAAATGACAGTTTTGAAAATAATGCGGACGATCTTATTTATGTATGCCAGAAATCGGATCGGATTGGCTAATATGATTGATGGGATGCTAATATAATTGGTAGTTTTTATTTCTAATCGGAAAAGGCTCAAGTTGATTGAGATGTTATCTAGTCAAAGATTAGATCCGACCCTAGATTATTTCATCAAATTTGAGGTGGATAGATTGGAAGATTTTTGGAATCTTTCAGGAAAAACTCCTTCTCAAGCCAGCTACTCTTGTGGTTTCCATTCTACATCAGTGTGTCATCCGGGTAGCCTTGTAAATTCCCTCCGAATTTGGTTTGCTCTCTCGACGCTCCTAATTAATTACGTGTTCCATTACTGAGAAGAGTTTTTTAAAATTTGAAAAAAAAAAGACTAAAAATGAAAGCCATATAGTATTTTGTTATTATATATTTAGTATCTTGAAGTATTTTTTTTTAAGTACACCTAGCACCTTAAAATATTTTTTAGTGTAATTTTACTCACAGCAATTTAGGTTACTGGACGTGGTTGAAAAACTAGTTTAAAGTGTTAGATGCTCCAAAATATAATTTAGAGTACCAGGCGCACATGAAAAAATAATTTAGAATGCTAGATGCCCTAAAATATAATTTAGGATACTTAATATACTTGAAAAAATACTTTAAGATATTGATTACATCACAAAATATTTTAAGATATTAGATGCACATGATTCCTTTTGAGTAATGAATAACGTGGACCAAAATAGGGTCTCATGTTTTTCATAAAAATCTAAGAGAGTCGCACTGTTCATTTCTTTATTATGAATTGGGCAACTTTCGATAGATTTTTATATCATATAAATTATTTTTCTTATAGAATAGTAGTTAGCATCTAGATAATCATCAATAATAATGATAACAAAATAGTCTAGCGTATAAACTATAAAAGAAAGCAGGCTCCTATATAACTAGAGAAGTAACTGAGAAGCGTCAGGGTATACTGTGTATGTTTGGATTCAGGTGATATTAAAGGGTCAAAGCCAGAACGTGGGAATAATTTTAGGGCCTGACTCTGATTTTATAATCATTCTTCAGGGCTCTGTTTCTTTATGGGATCGGACTTTGACGCTATCTATGTTCACCTTCGTTCCCCATCCATGACTAACAATTGCCTATCCTTTGTATCCGTTTCTAGAGTGTTAAATATAAGACACTACAAAAAGGGTTCTATATCTAAACCGAAAGGAATACTATCAGTGTTTACACTAAGACTCTAGTGTCTATAATATTTATTTATAGTGCGATTATGTGAGTGTATATATCACATGGCACAACAAATTGTCAAATTTTTTTTCATTTTGGAATTCCAACAACGAATATTATCTGACCCACCATGCCCTCTATAATTTTCAGATTAAGAAGGTTGCTTTACTTTTGTTTTACTTTCCGTAAATATAGAGTTTTTAAGATAAAACAATAACGTTATAACCAATGGCATGAAAGCTTTGCTGTAAATAGAAGGTTGTACGTTTTATCATATTTATAGCCTCAAATTGTTAGTATCTGTACTTTTCATTAGAGAGAGAGAGATTTTAAGATAGCTAAGAATATTCATAATTCAAATAAGACATAAAAGGAGGTGAGGATATTTTTCTCTAATTTTATTGAGTTTTTGGCTCACCGCCCTTCTTTGTTCTTATTACGAGCGATAGGGCTTGAATTAGGAAAGCGACATTGGTTTTGGAGCCAACAAATTTTCCACAAAGGAAATCCTCAAAGCTCCCCAGTTTGACTAGTCCACGCATGAAGTGCACTCGCATTACATTGGACATTGAAATTTTGTCCCATTACCCAATTCCACAAAACGGGCCCAGCCCATTAAAAACCTGCTCCCTAATCATTCAATCTACAACATTGTCAAACTTAATTGTCCTGAGAAATTTGTTACCAAAAAAAAAAAATTGTCCTGAGAAATAAAATTGTCAAGCCTGGGGGAGCCTTGTCTAATAATGACCCCATTCTGTGAAAATTTCGGCAATAGTTAGGGCATTATTATCCTCTGTGTGTTAATTAGCACAAGTGTATGGGAATCAATATCTCACTATCGTACTTAATCTTGCAATGTGGCTACACTTGCCCGGCTTTAATTTCTCTTCTAATGGTCGTTCTCACTTTCTTTGGAACTGGAAAGAAGGCCAAACTAGCTTTGCATGGAATCCTCCATCTCTCCTATATCAGTAGTACATTTTATGTTCTGGTAATGTGTGTTTATGTTTTTCCATGTTGATCATATTGTTTCCCATTTACTATAGTTGTTGGAAACATGCTTTGTTTTTCTTTATGGTTTTAAAAATTCAATTTGTATTCAAATAAGAATGTAAGAAAGTGTAATGTCTCCCCGGAAAAAAAAAAAAACCTGGCCATTACTTCGAAATTATGGATATTGGTCATTAATTTGTTTGATCCTGCATTCCGCCCAAAATTAGTGAGAAGTTTTAATATATCTAACGCACAGTGACTTGTTCAGATATTGTTCTACCATCAAATCAAGTACTGTGATGTGTTTGGAAAAGCTCTAAACACTTATGGTTATGGACCTTTATAGTAATTTTTTCCAAATTATTCTTAATGATACTTCTTCAACAATAATTAAGTTAGGAGAAAAATGGAGGATATCAAAAAAGATTATTAGAGTATTTATGAAAAATATGTCATATTTATTATAATTAATTAATCTACCTAACGGATTATTTGTAATTGCTATAGTTGGATTTCTCACAATGATATCTTCTATGAGAAAGCTGAGCATATTGAAACTGATTATTATTGTATTGAAGATACTCATCGGCCGTCTGCTAACCATTATATTGGCTCGCAGCAACAAGTAATTTACTTGCCAAGCACATAATCCTGTTAATTTCATGTAATTTGCAGACAAATTCGAAATAAAGTCACATAATCCAGGTCATTCGCATAGTCCTCCATCTTGTGTTTGGGGGAGGATGATAATGTAATGAAAAATAAATATATTTTGATATTTGTTAATTTTTAAATGGGGTGATATCATTGTTAGTTCTTATAGTTTGATCAAATTTTGGTTATAATATTTGTAGTTTCAAATTGTTGGTTTTTATCCCATGGTTTCATAATTTTTTTTGGTCTGAATTTAACAAATGGTCCATATATTTTTAACGAGTTTTAGTTTTTGTTCCTATATTTAAAATTTATATCAACCCATTACGAAACTATAAGAGAAAAAACCAATAATTTAAAACTATAAGGATTAAAAATAAAAATAAATCAAATTATAAGGACCAATAATAATATTAACTACCTTTAAATTTTCTTAGTTTCTTGTTTTGTGTATGATGAAACTCTAACCCATTTATTAGCCTTTTTTATATTTATTTCATTAGTTATGTTTTCTATTTTATGTATGCTCTAGACGAATTTACACACACACACACGATCATTTCACAAATATGGAAAGCACGCTAATTTACAATTCCACTTTTATCTTTTCTTGATCATTTTAAGGTTTTCTCTCCTTCTCAGCTTTTGCTTTTCCTTTTTTTCGCTCTCTCTTTCATTGGACTTCAACTTTTATAAAAAAATTTTATGGGAAAGGTACATAGTTTTGATAGTAAAATTAGGGCTTATATAAGAGGGTTTTCGGATTTTTAAGATGAAGTAGACCAACCAAAAATTGTATTTATAAGTTATACTAGATGATTTATATGCTTTTTAGAATAATCATTTTTAAGTTTAACCTTTTAATGAGTTAAGCTTTTACCACACGTATAAATAACTGAGTATATCCTAGCCATCTTATTCAAAGTTGTATTTTAATTAATTGTTGGCGTAAACATTTTTATGGGCATTATAGTAATTTTACGCCATTAGCCTTGGTTACATATTATCTATTCTTTCCAATAGGAGCACTTGAGTTCAATATCCTCGGATTAAACAGTTTCATAGAGACCAGATTTGCATTACAGGGCACTATATTATTGTAAAAATAAATAAATTTTAGATAAAAGTTTTATTAATGTGTAGCATAGTATATAATTTTACTCTGGTAAAATACTACTTTCGGTTTTAAACTACATTAAGAGCTAGATCTTATATTTAAGATCAGATGTAACATACATTTGAAAACCAAAACTGGTAGGCTGATGTGTCAGGTGGTAATTGGTCTGTCTAGTCACCCTGCCAGGTCAGCAATCACTCTTCTCACTGCTTCTCTGAAAGCAGCCTCATCCCATTCACTCCCCTACGAAAACATTATTTTGATTTTTGAGACAATAAATAATTAAGCACAAAAGATTGTCCCCACACACACACACACACACACACACTACTTTTCTTTTATTTTTTCAATATTACTCATTAAGCTTGAATACGTAAACCTACCTGGTCAAAAAAAAAAAAACTAAACCTATATCGGAAAACTAAATGGCTGAAAATTAAACAGTAATATGAACTAATGATGATGAGGTCCCGTGGCACCATTCTCTTCGTATTCTTCTTCTTGGCGCGAGGGCTCCACGCTAATTATCTCAATTTTTAATTTTCGCGTGACTTTAGTTTTATTTATTTTTAATTTTTCCTCTTTCACGGTTTTTAACCTAGAATAGAAATCCAACCAATTACATATAAGATATACTCAATATATGTCAGAATTTTAATTTGTTCATGCTTATTATTTTAATAAGAACCTCATGTACTAAACCTTAATCAATCATGTTGGTGATTTAATTATTTATTTGCATAGAGCACGTCATATCGATTTTTCATTAAACAAAAGGAAGAATACTGGAAACAAATACAATTCAACGAAAGAAGACTCTTCCTTTAAAATAGTTAGCAGCCGGAATAAAGTGTGGTATCAACTAACAACTCGCGACAGATACCTTAAAAGTATTTATTATTAAAGTAGTCCTTTAATTTCAAGTTAAAAGAATAAACACCTCTTTTGGGAAGAAAAAGAAAAACCGCAAAATCTATATTCGTTGGTTCTAGATCCAAACTTAGTAATCCTTATTCTTATCTAATCCGATCCCCAGCTGAGCTATCTGTTTCCTATACTCAGAAACCTTTTTTTAAAAAAAAAAACTAGTTTACGTGTCGTCCTGCAGCAGTAGACAACTTTTGATTAGAAATCATAACCTAGTTCAAATGCTTGATTGGTGGCTGCTAAAAATAGAACCTGCTTCTTGAATATTATATCGTTGAATATCATATCCTCAGAAAATGCGACGTGCCAGAGCCCACCAAGTTCTATGACTGCAGTTTCTAAGATCCTTCCTATTAAAAAAATATTACCAAAAAAAAAAATCATTAAAAGTTGCTTTTGATTTTGAAATCTCTCAAAACCATTCTGATTCAGTGTATACACCCTCACAACAGGGGCAGAGAATTAATCTACCTATTTGAAGATCAGATAACCAAATTTGGCGCCAGTTAATACCATTTGGTTTTCTGCTTGCATCAATTATTATTAAATACTAACACAACTTGTGTTTTAACGCGTGCTAGATAGTCTTCTTATCCTTAGCAACAACTTAGGGCACTTAGCAGGCCATCTGTAAAGTTTAGCTAATGCACATTGAGTCATACGTACGCAGAAGGAAATTTTCTATACATACGAAAATACCACGTGGTTCGATAATATGCATTGCTAAAAATTTGTACTCTTGTGAACTGTCATTAGATGTCGGGGTTCATAGGCACGTACCTCTATTTTCAGCCTTAAAGTTGCTTCATTAACGGCGGCTCCTTGTGCTATATGGGTGTTAGCTTCTACAGAAACTAAGCTCACTATCTGAACCCCTTTCAAGAATTCCAATAAGCGAATCAACATCTCGACCTGAGAATAGATTTGTCCTCTCACAGTCACTTGCAGGTGGATGAATCTTTCATCTGATGAACTCGACCCTGGCACATCTGAAACTCGCACACTGAATCTTTCGGTCGAGGGACTGATTTTCATTTCTTGATCTGTTAATAACTGCTTGGATTTCATTTGTGCCTCCTCTTTCTGATCTTCGTTGGTTATCTTTTCAATCTCCGCCATCAAAGAGTTCAATGTCTCCTTTGCTGCTGTAAGTATTGAGCCTTTGTCTTTCTGTAACATGCAATGTTCAATTATACTCTCTCAGGAATAATTTTTGTGAAGTAATCTCTATGAATTCAGAAGATATGTAACCAAAAGTTCATTAATGAAAATTAAGTACCTTGGTTCCTGGAGGGAGTAGTGACCGAAGTGCCTGAAAATTCTGATTGAGCCTCTCACGTCTTCTTCGTTCTGATATCATATGAAGGAGCTGGGTGCTAGAGGGACGACCTGTTTGATAACGCTCTCTCATATTTCTCATGTAATGTAAGCCTCTAAACAATTCGAATGATCTCTTGAGCAAGCTTTGCTTCCTGCTCATCAAACCGGGTTTGGAACTCATTTCTGAAGGTATGTACCTTGTAAAAGCACTGGTTCCTTCTGGATGTATATTATTAGGCAGATTTTGCTGATGAAAGGCTGAATTATTAGAAGAAGAAGAAGGCGAAGATATAACATGAATAAAAGCTCTAACTATCGCGTCGTGTTCAGTCTCTTGTTTGATCGGCAGCATTTCAGGCAAGAGAGAAGTGCCCGGAATATTAGCGAATGGGAGGGATGTGGATTCGGGACTTCTGGCAGTGGATAATGACCTCAAAGAAGATGAAGACGATGAAGATGGATACTTCAGTTCAGCTGGATGCGACTGTCTAGAAAATTCTTCTGGAAACAAGTTCCTCATCACATCTGCTTGAATCTCAGCACCCTGCACAGAAAAACCACATCAGAATCCAAATAATGAACAAATTATATATGCCGGTGTATAGAGTAATTATACTTTACTGACTTGAGAGATAACTGAGAAACCAAGCTCAACTTCCCCATTGCCGCAACCTATGAAAACAGCTGTCTGTAAATAAGGAATATGATATTAATGCTTACCATGTTCAGGTTGCAGCCTAAATGTAATAAGAGAAACTAGCTATTCTCTAGGTAGTTGAGCAAAACACTAACCTTAATCCTTGCTTCCTGTTAAAAAATACATCATAAATTCGAGTTTTATCAGACAATATTATTACTGTGTGATGATATATGATCCTAGTAAAGTTTCTTTAATAAGCCAAGTCGCGAGTTAATTACATGAAAGAACCGTCTTTGTAGATCTGTCCGTGCCAGTCTTAACAGATCGGATTGTTGCAGCTCAAGGCAGGCATATTGGTGGTTCCGAAAAGCTAGTCCTGGAACGCCACTGAAAAAACAAACAAGAAGCGAAACACTCTTTTCAGTTAATGCAGATACTGAAATCATCAGCTAGCTTAAAATATTCCGATCTGCATATATAATTAGGGAATTAATGCAGGAGCTATAATTAAGTCAGCCATACTTATCAGAAGTGACATCAAATTCCAAACCCCTATATTGGTCGAAAAGCCTCTGATCAAAGTTCCCCACCAGTCCCAGAGAAGAGATTGCTTGCTGGTTTGGCACGTCGCACAAACCATCCAAGAAGAGCAGCCGACTGCGCAAGAATCAAAATCCAAAAAGCAAGTGGGAATTATACCACACAAATATATGGATAAAAAATTACATGGGTGTGCGTGGATGGCATAAAGTTATAATTACTTGGATGAGGAACTATAGAACCAGAGGCAGACATAAGCGCAGCCATAAGTGTTAAGTACGGATTGGAGGAAATCGAGTCTTTCAGCTTCAGAGAAGAAGAAGACGCTATTCATATTGATCGAGAGAGCTAGGGTTACTTCATTTTAGGGTATGGCCTCTAACTCTAAGCGTGTGATTATCATATATGTGAGTGGCTTGCTTCGTTGTGAATTGACATACAATTCCGAATCTTACCGTGGGAACATGGTTGAAGACAACAAGATGATTCTGTGTGTGAAAAGGGCGCTTGTGATCAGAATTTTTTTTTTTTTTAAGTATAATATATAAGAGGAGGCAATTACGCGGAAGGAGTGAAACCCCAACGAAAGAAGAAAGAAGAAAGAAGAAATAAGAGAAAAATGGAGGGGCCGCCTCCAAATTAAAGGAAGTTAAAGAGGTGGGAGAGAGATACGTGTATTATTGAAATTTGAAAAGTACAAAGAGAGAGAGAGAGAGACAGAGAGACAGAGAGAGAAGGTTAGAATTAGAAAAGTATGGAATCGAAGTCAATGCATGAAATTGTTGGAAATTAGTCAAGTGAACCACCCCACGTGCTTGCTTTTCACAAATCCTACTCCTTTTTTTTTTTACTATTTTCTTCCCCATCAAATCCAAGCCCAAGGTGCTCCCCTCTGACCCCTTCATGCCAAAATCCTTTTTTACTATATATCACAATCAACGTCATTAATCATGCTTAAAAAAGATTTGACAAAAAATTAGTATCAAATATTTAGAAGCAGACAATAATACTTTAAAATTACAATGACATAAAATAAAGAGAATTTTCTTTCTCTCTGTTTTGGGTAATCGTAAGGAGAAATTTCTTAATCAACTGTATATGTTACAATGCGAACGCTCGTAAACGAGGAGAGAGAGGGATGTTTAATGTTTTAAGAGCTCTAATATTTTCTTTTGTTTTATTTATCGAAATATCAATGTCTAATGATAAAGACGGTCTAATATGAACCATGCATCCTAGTGGAAAGACAAGTGAGAATGCGCTTATATCCATCGTTTTATATATTGTTTTTCCTTGCTTATACATAATGTGAAAACATTTATATAAGAAAATGATGTGACAGGTATGGAGATATATGCTCAGATATACCAAAAAAAGGGGGAAGAATAAGGGCAGGAAATGAAAGTGAAAGGGGTATTTCTGAGAAATTGTAATAATCAATGTTAATATAGCAAAACATAAAATGGTCAAAAATAATACATTTGTTATTTTTAATTTCTCACGGTATTTCATTTCATCCCTTATATTAAAGAGTGGAGGTAGTGCATACAAGTTTTCCGTGCGCCCCCAGCACATAGCTAATGGACAGCCTCCTGAAACATGCATTGCATATTTCTCAATCGCTTTCAATTTATAATACGTTTTTTTAGGATAGTTTAATGCTACCTCTATTCTTTAACATAAAAGCTAGTTGATTAATTTAAGTAGATTAAAAAAAACTAGTTAAGTTAGTTATTTGTAATAAATAGGTGTTGTCTTCCCTAAAATACTTTTGCTAATCATATATGTTAGCTAGAACTATATTTGATAAAACCTTTAATATTTACAGCTACTACGTGGACTATCATGTGAAGAGATAGTATATAAATATGAGAGACAAAGTGAATTTGGGTTTTATATTTAGGACTAAATTGAATTTCAAACTAACTTTTATATTAAGAACTGGAGGTAGAATTCATTAAAGTGGGGCAATTTTGTTCAAAACATTATCAAGCATTGATTGTGAACCTCTCTTTTAATGGGGATTCAAACCTTGGTTTATTGCATTATGAGGGACTGTCTTCTATTGAACTCCCATTAATTGTTCTATTATAAGTTTTAGACAAAAATATATTTTTAATCTTTTAGTTCTATATAAGGTTTCATTTTCAACACTTAATTTTAAAAAAATATACTTGTAGTCTTTTAATTCTAAAATCATTAGCAAAAACAAAAATGATATTGAGATCTTAAATATTGACAAAATATTTTCAAATGTTAATATATTACGTTTAATTTTTAAAACAGTTATAACAATCATTATTTAACACTAATTATTTTATAACTAAGGGACTGAAAACATTTTTTTTTAAATTAAAAGACTAAACTGAAATATTATATAAAATTAAAGACCATGTGCTTTTAACCAGGTGCAAATAAGATGCCGCAGTTGCGGAGTCTGAGGCTCAGAGCATTCTCATCTCATTCTCAAGTCCCACCAAAAAAAAAAAAAACAACAACAACAACAAAGAAAAGCATTATGCGCTTCTTCTTTTTTTGTTTGATAAAAGCAGAAGGGCTTCAAGTGGCTGAGAATGGAGATTGAACCGCGTAGCCTAGCCCAATCATCAAAATAGGCCGAGCCCATTAAATCCATCCGGCCCAAAGGTATGACTGGGCAAGATTTTGTCCTCAATCAGATCGGGATTATTCCAAACCAACCAATAGTATGAGAACATACGTTTATTTAAAAAAAGAAAAAAGTACGAGAGCATACCACAACTCTCCTAATAATGATACAACTACCAATTACTCTTATAATTACAACCACTTTACTTATTATAAGAAGACAAAATAGACTACAACACGAACTACTTAAGGGTGTTAGCTGTATCGAACCAAACTAATTTAGGCACCGTTTGGATGCACTTGCAAACCATGGTTTGGAAGCCCAAACCATGGTTTGCACAAAATGCTATCCAAACACCCCTCTCAAAAACCAAAACCATGGTTTTGGAAAAAGCAAAAAAATTTTGCTTTTGGAGAAAAAAGGGAGAGTGTGAGAGTCTATAGGATATGTATCTTGTTATTTTTTTATAAACATATTTAATCTTATATTTTATAAATATATACATATTAATTAATTATTAATTATATTATCTTATGTATTATTAATTATGTTAATAAAAAATATATTATTAACAATTTTATTCCTCTAAATTAAAATATATCATAAAATCTATTTTTTCTGTAATTATCATATTAACTTATTTCTTTTTTTTTAGTAATTTGTATATATAAAAAGTGCTTCTGATAACAACTATCCAAACACTCTCACTTCTCAAAATCACTTTTTCATAAAATCTATTCTTTTCAGAATCTATTCTCCAGAATCACTTTTCCAAACCACAGTTTGGTTTTATCCAAACACACCCTTAGTTTGATATCTAAGACTTCAGTCCAGATAAGGCCACTTATTCTTAACTCATTAACAGGCCATGCTTTTACTTTGTTAAAGTAATTCGTCTTGTAGTCTATTTCGTCTTCTTATGATAAGTAAAGTAGTTATCATTATAAGAGTAATTGATATTGTGTCATTATTAAAGTAGTTGTGATTATTAAATGTCAAGCCATTATAACACCTACCTGTCATAATACTGTTAAGAGATTGCATTTATTTTGATTATATATCCATCAAAAGAAAAATATTTTTTAAAAAAGTAAAAGTATTAAATATTAAATCTCAGCCATCAATATTAAATTTGAATAGTTGAGATTTGATCACGCGAGCATAAAACTTAGATTTTTTTATTTTGCCAACAAAACTTAGATGAACTATAGCCTGTAACTATATAAGTTTGATATTTTTGTTACCTATCATCTTTTTATTTATTTTAATCAAGAAAATTACCTACCAACATATATAATAAAACTTTTTTAAATTCGGCGTAATTCACTGAAAATTATAATAAAAATGATACACGATAAACATTTTATTGATTTCAACAGGACTAAAATATAAGGAGCGTGTTGCTCGCATTAGTATCACGTTAGCGCTGTGCAGACTACAGAACATGAATAATTGATTTATGGGAAAATCCCAAAAAAAAAATTTTAGAATATAGAAAATTTCAGATTGGGTTCTGGAATTGTGTAAGTGACAAAAAGGATCAATAACTCAATCTGTCATTTGTAAAATTAAGAAGAATTGACAATTTTTGCCTTCATTTATATTCATTTGCTATAATGATTTAAGGGACCACTACAAGGGTTGAGGTGTTACCTAGATTCGTGTAGAGAATAACTACTCTCTTTTTTTTTGTAGTGAGGTGCCTTATTATTAACTACAACTAATCATGTGATTACTAGAACAGTGTAAGCATTATCTAGATTCGTGTAGAGAATAATTACTCACTTTTTTGTAGTCAGGTATCTTGTTATTAATTACAACTAATTATATAATTACTAGAACAGTATAGGCGTTACCTAAATTTGTTTAGAGAATAACTACTCACTTTTGCTTAGCCAGGATAAAGTTGTCAATTCTTCTTGATTTTACAAATGACCGATTGGGTCATTGACTTTTTCTGTCATTTACACAATTATATGTCCCAATCAGAAATTTTTTATATTTCAAGAGCTTTTTTTGATATTTTCTATTAAACGAGACGAGACTAATATTTTAGTCTATTAGATGCTATTTCTTTTTTTTAAAAAATAAAAGTGCTTCCATCCCTATTTTACTTCAAAGCTGTGTATTTTTGGGTAGAGGACGGAAGCGGACTATAATTTTGTAGACGAAGGGGGAAAGCCAGGTCCCAATCTAACATCATCAGATTCATCACTTCATGCTTCTCAGTGGTTGGATTTCCGAATTCACATGGCAACAATTTTGTAGACGACAGCATCACTTGGACAACAGTAACGAGTGGAGCCTGTAGGTAAAGTTTTTGTCATTCTTGCCTCTTCCAATGGATTCCCTTTTGCTCAAACCCCACTCCCTTCCCCCAAATCAATTAATTACTAAATGGCCTTCTTCATTTATTAATCATTCTCAGCAGGCTCGCATTTTCTTCCCTCTTCAACAGAAATCCAGAAAAACTTTCAGATTGAAGATGTCCCTGCCTGAACAAAATCCATGTGAGTATGTCAAATGCAATAGATGATTCAAATCCAAGGTAGATGGATACTTTGTTCCTCTGCATCGCACATGATTCAAATCCAAACCAACGAGTATCTCCCAGAACTCATCTAGTTTGTAACTTTCTTTTTGCTTTTCTAGCTATCCTGAATACAGATAGTTCACAAATTTTACTTAGAGTTCATGTCAAGCTTATAATACCATGATTATGCTTCTGTTTCGGCGTTAATGGTAGCACATGGTAATGTGATGTATTCCCTTAATGTTTCAAGGGGTCTTCCTAAAATTCTGTAATTCCTCTAGATTTCAGAGGTAATTTATTTCTCTTCCTCCGAATATGAAAAACAAAGGGCTGTGGGTGTTTCAACAAATATCATGGAAATTGATATCGATTTAGTGAATTGCTTTTTCAGCTACTCACCAGAAGAAGGTCGTTGTAGCTAATAAACATGGTGAAAAGCTAATGGGCATATTGCATGAATCTGGAACTACGGACATTGTAATCTTGTGCCACGGATTTCGATCATCAAAAGTTAGTTCTCCTGATATATGAAGCCTTTTCTATAACTCCTTTGTAAACGCATGTAACATCTGATACCATAAACATAAATATCGTGAATCAATCTCATCTGCTATATTTTTCCCATTTCCAGGAAACTGAGGCCATAGCAAACCTTGCTGCTGCATTGGAAAATGCAGGAATCAGTTCTTTCCGCTTTGACTTTGCTGGAAATGGGTAGGTTTATGGTATTACTATGAGAATCACTGATTTTGAATATATTATCTATCAACATCTTCACCTTTACAGCTTGAAGTATTCAAGTAAATAGCAGCTTTACTTTCTGCTGTAACGTTGTGTGAAGTTAGACTATGAATTATACTGTCAATGGTAAGACAATGAAGGTCCTGACAATAATACTATGGTCCAAAGTTATCAATGGCTTAATAACCAGCAAGCTCCGTAGTCCACCAAGCAGGTGATATGAACATTACGTCAGGTATAGTATAACTAACAAAAATATAGAGGGAAATGCATGCTGCTGACTCAGAATTTAGATCCACGATATCACAAGCTAATTGTAAATGTGAATTGTTATATAATCATTGGCCCACAACATCCAAAATATAAGTTAATACTTGTTCATATTTTCTCTTAGTCCTTTTGTTGCTTGCATCTATGGGACTATATACTGGCTCTAGTTACTCCATTTATGCTGAGTTTTATGCTCTAAAATTTCTGGCATGTGATATTGATAATTTTTTTCTTCTTCTCTTTTTTATTATTATTTCTATATGTACCTATTGTATATTCCTTCAAGGGAAAGTGAAGGTTCATTTCAGTATGGAAACTATTGGGGGGAAGTTGAAGATTTACATGCTGTAGCTCAACACTTCTGTGGGGAAAAGCGAGCTGTCAAGGCAATTGTTGGGCATAGTAAAGGTATGTTGGATTTGTTGCCATAATTCCTTGACTAATCTTACCAGCAAGAAAAAGAGGAAAACGACCTGCTACAGTGCAAGTAATGGTATAATTGGAGTTGGAGTTTTCTTTTGAAACTGATTTCTGCTCAGCATTGTTTGGCTCTGAATAGGATCAGATGAGAATGGTGTGATTTTTGATATAGAATTGGCATTAGCTTTCATAATAATTGTAAACTGGTTAAATCTTATAGCATCATCTAAGGTAATACACCAAACTTTCGCTTGAATTACTGAGATACTTGCTCCAAATGCTACAGTACAGATGTAGACTTCACTTTGCTGCAGAACAGTGCAAGTAATGGTATAATTGGAGTTGGAGTTTTCTTTTCATAGTGATTTCTGATCAGCGTTGTTTGGCTCTGAATAAGATCAGATGAGAATGGTGTGATTTTTGATATAAAATTGGCATTAGCTTTCATATAATAATAATAATTGTAAACTGGTTAAATCTTATAGCATCATCTAAGTTGATATACCAAACTTTCGCTTGAATTACTGAGATTCTTGCTAAAAATGCTACAGTACAGATGTAGACTTCACTTTGCTATGCTTTGAACTATGTCAATAATAAAATTCGTATAAATAGAACGATGATATAATTGGAATTTCATCGCTTTCTATGCTGTTAAAGTCTGGTCTTCAACTATATCCACTGGAAGTAAATTGGTAAGGTGCTTCATATCTGTCTTGGTGACCCTGACCGAGGGTTATCATTTATCATAAAAGGACATGGTCGGGGATGATCTTCCCTTTATTATGCCATTGAGAATTATTATTTTACAGGCATTGGTATGACATGAATCCCTCTTATTCTTAACCTACGCCTTTTATAGGAATAGGTAAGGTTTGTCGCAAGTCATACTCCATTATCTGCCACTGGTTTTATCTATTTGAGTTTTCTTTTTGGCAAAGAGAAAATCTTGCTAATTGTTTCTGCTCCTTGACACAGGAGGTGGTGTGGTGCTTCTGTATGCTTCAAGATATCGTGACATCAAAACAGTTGTCAACCTCTCTGGTCGCTATGATCTGAAGACAGGTGTTGAAGAACGCCTAGGAAAAGATTTTATGGAAAGAGTCAAGAAGGATGGATTCATTGATGTGCACAAGTCAGGTAATCTCCAGTTTTGAATGATGTTTAATGCCTCCATAGTGAAGGAGACCTTTGTAAGGGATGGCGCAACAAATTCTGGTTCCTTGATTACTTGTTTCTCTACATTGAGCCTCAATGTTCAGATGCACTTGCTAAAATCAGCAAGTCCTGAACCCGAATACAAATTTCCAGCTCCCTCCCCTTGCTTGGCCTGTGTAAATCATTGTGAATGTAAAATAGCAGAATATAATGCAAAAGTAAAAAGGAAAAAGATTTTGATGGTTGTGGGGGTGGGGGGGGGGTTTGAAATTTCCAAATTCCAAGTAATAAGGGTTGTGCATGTGCCTTTCTTGAAATTTGTGATGAGTTTAGATAGACGTCAGAAAGGCATTATGACCATCATTGGTAATCTGGCACATGAAATTATAATAGCCGTCTGTTCATTTCTCTCCCTCCTACACAATCACGGGTGCTTGCATGTATTGATTTCATTATTCTTCGATCACTTGAGAACATCTACTTTTGCAGGAAGCTTTCTTTTTCGTGTGACTGAGCAAAGTTTGATGGATCGGCTGAATACAAATATGCATGAAGCATGTCTCCAGATTGACAAGGGATGCAGGTGAGCGGAAAAGGAAATTCTGATGACTTCGTTTTCCTTGAATCATGTGTCGTTTTCTTGTACCATCATCTTGCCACCTGCCTTTTTTTTTTTTACCCCAGTGGTCTTGTCCTTATTTGATGCTGCAGCGTTTTCCTTGATCACGGTTTTCTAAGGTACAGTGTCATATCACTGATTTGTTACAGGGTGCTTACAGTTCATGGTTCTGCTGATGATATTGTGGGTGTTGAGAGTGCACACGAGTTTGCCAAGATTATACCTAACCATAAGTTACATATCATAGAAGGAGCTGATCATCCATTCACACAGCATCAAGATGAACTAGCCTCTGTTGTTGTCAACTTCATTAAGGAATCCTTTGACCAGGACAAGGCTCCTACTAGCACATGAACTTCTTCATTTGTGTTACCATCTCTCTTTTTAATGATAGAATGGTACGATATTGAGCTAGCTTCTCTTGCTTCAGTGTGTGGAATAACAGGGAGTAATGGCCAATAATCTATATTTTATAACAAGTAGATGCTCATACGCATTGTCTTTCCCTCTATTCTTATTGAGGCATGATACTAATTCAATAATATATCCTATCTGTTTGATCTATAAATGAATCAACAAAATCTTTTTATTTGAAGTCTACAATTTTACTTTTATGAATGCATAAATATAGTTTTTTTTTTTGTATACCTATTTGAATTGGGTTGATTAATCAAAATTTATTTGAAAAAGAAAATCAGGAATTCTTCTTGTTTTTTTTTTGACCTGATAAACTTCAAATCAGTGGATATCATTGAATGCCAAACCAATATTTCCCAAGTCACGCCCTATTAATTATTATTAAATATGCAAGCTTCTTGAAAAGTATTTCAAGAGCGTAAATGCATACGTTCATTTCAAATTCGCTTTTTACATTACGAAACAAAGCCAAATGGATAATCTTTGTTATGATCTACTCCTCTGGGCTTTAATATAAGACTCGATTATTGAGTTGGTTTTGGTCTTAAATATAAAACTCATTTTTTATATTTATCAATTTTCTTTAAATTATCCCTACAGATATTTTTTCAACCATAATCAAGTAGAAAAGAGAGATGAGATATTAAGAAAGATGATTATGGTGTTTTAGAAAAAAAGTGTCAATTTTCTTATAGTTAACTAACTTGTCTAACTTTTTTAATTTAATCAAATTAGTTAAATGGGTCTTATATTAAGGATCAGAGGAGTATTATATTTTTACAATACAAATAATTATTATGCCAATTAGACTAACTTAGCCCATGAGAAATAGGGTGGCAAGCCCTTGTCTTGTTTGGAGTTATATTGTTTTGACGTTTATCACACATTTTGACATATATATTACAATTAGCCTAAGACATTTGTAATTAGTTCTTTCAGTACTTAATTAAGAGCTATTTAATTAATCTGAATAGATTAAAAAAGTGAGTTAGGTTAGTTATTTATAACAGATATGAATTGTTTTTTAAAAGTATCTTTTAAATTATGACTACTTTTAGATAGAATTTTTTTTTGGTACATGTACTCGATATTTTAAAAAATAAATTATAAATTTGAAAGACAAAGTAGATTAATATTTTATATTTAGAATTAATTCTAATTCATGACTAGCTCTTATATAAAAAAAGCCAACATAGTACTCCTCCGGTCTTAATTATAAGACCCAATTAACTTATTTGAGGAGATTAAAGAAGTAAGTTAAGTTGGTTATTTATAATAAATAAGTGTTGTCATTCCTAAAATATCCTTGCTAATTAAGTATATTGGCTAAAACTATCATTATTAGGAGGATTATCTTGGAAAAAAATACATAAATATAAGAGACAAAATGGATTGGGGTCTTATAATTAGGACCAAATAAAAAGTCAAATAGGGTCTTATAATAAGGACCGAAGGAGTAATAAATAATATTGCACTTTTACTAATAAATTATTAGTTGAGATGGTAAGTGACGTCACCTCGTAAATAAGAAGGAGAACATAAGCTTAAATCTTAAAAAACATACTTATTAGAAGGGTTTTAACCTAATAGATATTAGTTTCAAGCCTAAAGTCACATGCGAGGGAGGATTTGAGTTATGCGAAAATAAGCCACTGCACTGTTTTCATTGATTTGTTTATAAAAATGTAATAATAATGTTAATTAATAACGATAGGCGGCCAAGGATGAAAGATAATTAGATTTTATTTCCTTTTGGTTTTTCGCCAACGATTTTACTCCTCTGCTATTTAATATAGAGTCATTTTTTTTCCAGAAATGTAGGGTTTAATTATTAAGTTGATTTTGATCTTAAATATAAGATTTATTTTTTATATTTATTAATTTTTTTTAAATTACCTATATACTTCTTTAACTATAATCAAGTAAAAAGAAAGAAAAAAGATATTAAGAAAAATAATTATAATATTTAAAAAAAATATGTCATATTTCTCATAATTAACTAACTTATCTAATTTTTTTTAATTTAATCAAATTAGTTAAATATAGGATTTCTCTTTGTTGAACTATGCTAGTTGTCATCGATGGCCGGAAATTGACGGACAGGAGACTTTCGGTTACACCTACAGCCGACCAAAATTAGTGGGTTGTGACTTGGGCGAGGGACTTGCGTTTTCTGAGTTAAGTGTCGCTTGAAAATTGCAATGCTTTGATTGGTTGGTTACCATCTTGCAAAATTTCTATTGTGTGGTGTCAGATTAATCAGTTTCCAGAAAGCCTTCTGTACCCAAATTTCTTAATCTTTCCCATAAGCGAAGTCACCTATCCTTCCCTGTCCATCGGAAACCCAGAAGAAACCTAAATTTAAGGATGGCCCAAGCTGCACAAGACCTAGGTAAATGCGTGTTTTGCCCCTATTATGCTGAATATGACATGATTTGGAACAAAAACACACAAATTATGGTTTCGTTTCCGGGTTATCTGAATCAAACGGTAATTCTGTTCTTTTATCTGTGGAGTTGAACTGGATGCCTTAGCATTATCTGTCTAGATAACGTTGATTAATGAGCCCGTTGAAAAGCCGGGAATCTATGATAATTTTTGCCCAAAGTTTTCAGATATCTTTCAAGCCGTCACTTTATGTTATTAACTCGAAAATACGGTAGTACTTTAGCTTATTTAACTATTTCAATCCAAATTGATCGGTAGCTGAACATCTAACTGCTGCTTTCTTTGTAAGCTACCCTTATCAATATAGAGTTGTTAATTCCTGCTCAAATTCAATATTTAGACGTAATATTTTAAAATCCGTATAAGTTCATGTTTGCATGATTGCTTGTTTGTTTTGTCACTTGTACTCACCGCAAAATGTCTCTTGGACTTTCTTACCATGGATATGATCTCAACCTAGTCTTGTGGTCATTGTCCAGAGGCTTTTACTTAACTGTGCTGAACTGCAATGTGGTCTCATTACAAAGGTTTCCTGCCCTCCTTGTTGCCATGCACATTTACTTAGCTTCTACTGGGTTTAGTTTAAAACCCTCCCAAAAACTAAGTGTCTCTGTTAGCGGAAATGGAAAAAGAAAGGCTGCTTGAAGATCCCCATTGATCATGTTATCTTTAGAGATAGCTTGTCTCTCTTTGTGATGTCACTTGTGTACTTTTGAAAGCAGATTCTTATATCATTTGAATAATTTCAATGTATATTGTTCTTTTCAATTTTTATGAAAATAACAAATGAGGCAAATATCAGAAGTAGCATTTGAAAAGTATAATATCATAAAAAAGGACCACCGACATCGACTTGGGAAAATGATGCTGATGTTTTGCAATGCTGGCAGCAGTGTTTGAAATAATGAACTCCCTTGGTAACCATGCCAGCAGTTTGAATTTTCAACAAATTCAGTGAAATCAATTTATGGTTGCTCGATTATCTTTTCAGCTTTTCACCAGCAAAAAGTCATAATACCTAACAAGCAGGGAAATAAACTAGTTGGCATCCTCCATGACTCTGGAAACTTGGAACTTGTTATCTTATGCCATGGTCTAGGCGCCTCAAAGGTAACTTCTATTGATACGGAAAGCTCCTGTTCATTATTATGGTGGGAATGTGTTGTCATTAAAATTGAATGTAAACCTGATCAGCCCCAACTCATACTGATTGGGTAAGTAAGTTTTCTTATTTTCAGGAAGACAATATCATGGTGAACCTTGCTTCTGCACTGGGAAAGGCTGGGATTAGCTCTTTTCGCTTTGACTTTACTGGAAATGGGTATATTTCTAATATTGCAGAATCAAACTGTGAATTTTTAATATTATGTATGTGAAGTATTACTTTCATAACAAACAACTGGCTTTACTTGTTGCTGTAGACATCGTTATGATTAATGTGAGGAACTATACTAATACTTAAGGCTGATGCGTTAAACCCTCTGTCATCTCAGTTTTTCTCGTGGAAGGATATATTCTGGAATGTTTAAGCTTGAGAAAGACAAAGTTCTGAAATTGGGAGCTATTAATATTTTGTTAAATATAGGAAATTGAAGTATCAAACATAGATCATGCTACAGAACTTGCAAAGTGCATTTATAGTTGTGCAGACAAAATTAATATGTGAAATAGTTATGGCCTGCAGTTTCTTACCTTTGTCAAATATGTCGATGGTTCTTTTTTGTCTTTTCTGGTTTCGTGTATTTCATTTTCACTGTTAGTCTTCTTTCATACTATTTCATTTTGATTTAGTTTCTTCTTTCTAGGGAAAGTGAAGGTTCATTTGGATTTGGTAACTATTGGAGGGAGGTTGACGATTTACATGCAGTGACCCAACACTTCCATGGAGCAAACCGCGGAGTCATTGCAATCATTGGGCACAGTAAAGGTTTGTTTAATGTTTATATTTGTTCTTCGTAAATTATGAAATAAGAAGCAGATAAGTCAAGCATGCAAAAGAGATGTCCTAAGAGTAACGTGAGGCCTTCGCATACTGAAATAGAAGGACAGATGCCGTAAATTATAGCTGGCCTCTTCTGGGGTAAAAACAAATAAAGTTCATACACTGATGTACATGATACACATGATATATGTAGAGAAGCGTATCCATCCTATCGGAAATAAAAAAGAAGCGTATCCAGGTGAAGGCCAGACAAACGTGGGCTATGAGTTATCTGCGTCTTGTGTGTATTAACTAATTGTCTTTGGCCCAAGCTTTTGTAGCATTGTGAACAAGGTAATGTAGGCTTCTTGGGACCATTACTAATTGTTGCTGTACTTTGATGCAGGAGCTAATGTGGTGCTTCTTTATGCTTCAAAGCATCATGACATTAAAACAGTTTTCAACCTCTCTGGTCGCTATAATCTGCCAGAAGGCATTGAAGAACTTCTTGGCAAGGATTTTATGGAAAGAATAAGGAAGGAAGGCTTCATTGAGGTGAAGAGTAATTCGGGTAATCTGTCACGTGGGTATTTGATTGAATGCCAAAATTGGTTTTGAAGCATCTTGCAAGAGATGTTTCAACAATTTTTTTTTTTTTAATCTATTATTACTTGCCTCTCCATTCTGGTCCTGCTGTTGAGTGAAATTGCTAAATCCAGTGAGTTGGGAAAACAATGTTTCTCTGTATCCTGTACACACATTTTCATGCATTCTCTTACTATTGTTTATGATCACTAAAAGGAATATACTTTTGTAGGAAGGTATAGGGTCACTGAGGAAAGTCTGAAGGATCGCCTAAGTATAAGTATGCATGAAGAATGCCTTAAGATTGACAAAGAATGCAGGTAAGGGGAAAGCGAGTTGTCTGCTGGTTCTTCTCTTCTTTCTCCCTCACTTGACCCCTTTTGCCTTTTGTTGCATTTCTTCACCGACCATGTTTGTCTACATTAAAACTTGAATCATAGAGTTACCTGGCGATAATGTTGGTGATACTTCTATATAATGTACAGCTTCCCAAAAACATCAGGTAAGAGTTAGTGTTTAAGAAGTTAGTGTTTAAGAAAGCTTTATGGATTTAGGAAAACCTAGTGGTTTGAGAAAAGTTTTACGTGCATGGATTCAAAGTTTTATATCATGATAACCAGGGCTAGTTTTCCTACTTGAGCACAGACCTATTTGTAGGCCATCCTAGACAAGATAAGAAATCCTAATGAAGGTCAGGTTCCAATACTAGAACCTAATTGTTTCTCTGTTTTACTTTTACATTACGTCAACTGTTAAAAGATATATCTGTTATATCTTCATTGGAAAGCTATGATGTTATTACAATGTTCCCGTTTTTGACAGGGTCTTCACAGTCCATGGTTCTGCTGACCAAACTATACCTGTTAGTGATGCATATGAGTTCGCCAAGATCCTGCCTAACCACAAGTTACATATCGTAGAAGGAGCTAATCATATATATGCTGACCACCAAGCTGAATTAACCTCGGTGGTTGTAAACTTCATAAAGGAAACCTTGCATCAGGGCACTGATGCATAGGTAGCTGTCCTAGAGAGTTTATTTAACTCGTTGTTTAATGTTCTCTAAAATAATATAGCAGTGCTGGTATATCTGACTGTTTTGAGCCCCTTCATTGTGATTAGGGGTGGAAACAGGCCAGGCGGCCTGTCAGGGGCCTATGGCCTGGCCTGCATTTGGCCTGGCCTGACCTGGCCTGTTTCCCAAAAAAGATAGGCTCAGGCTTGTTTGAAGGCCTGTTTAACTAAACAGGCCAGGCTTAGGCTTTTTAAAAAGCCTGTTAAGCCTGTTAGGCCGGCCTGGGCCTGTTAGAAATTTATAATCATAATATATGAAAAAATTAATTAATGCTATTATTGTTAATGTGCTCTTTTAATTTATTTTTTAATTTTAATATATAGTTAATAGCTTAATCTTTTCTTAGATTTTGAAGTTTAGATGACAAGTGAAGATAAAAATATAATTTAAAATAATAATATCAATAAATAATGTGATTTTTAAATCTTAAAAATATAAAGAAAATAGGAAAGAAAAATTTTGTTCCAAGAATGATAAATTAACTAACTTACGTATTATGTTAATTTAAGTATGATACCCTCTTTATTTATTATAAAATTAGTATTTTTTTCTCTTTATTTATTTGTCTTAATTTTAATTTTTTGTGTGTACTTAAACGTAGTCTTATTCTAAATTTTAACATATAATTACAATTAGTTTTCAATAATATTCTTATAAATTATAATTAAGATTTAAAATAGTACTTATGATACTAAAATTTAAATAAAAGACAAGACTAAAAATTTAATTATTATGTACGTTTTTTAATCTTAGCTTTTTTTAAAAAAAATAATTATTATAATTTGAATTTTTTAAAAATACAGGCTTTTTAACAGGCTTCAGGCCAGGCCAGGCCTTTATACAGGCCAGGCTCAGGCTGAAAAATAAGCCTGTAACAGGCCACAGGCCAGGCTCAGGCTAATAGGCTCCAAAACAGGCCTGGCCTGTTAAGAGCAAAGCCTGGCCTGGCCTGTTTCCATCCTTAATTGTGATTCTGATGACAAACTCCATAGGCTGGTGTGAACGGCCTATGATGCTGTAATGGCAATGCTATTTATTTTAGAGAGATCTTTTTTTTTGGGGGGGGGGGGAGAGAGATGTGTCAGGGAGAACAACAGGATGGGAAATCTGTACCCAAAAAAAAAAAAAACAGGATGGGAAATGTCGGCCCACTTTGTCTCTGTTGTTGTACGGAGTCCATGTCTGATGGTAACAATGAACCTAGGACTATTACCGCGTGATCGCAAACTATTCTCACTTAAGTCAAAACTGAGCTCCCCTTTTTAATACTCGCAACACATAGGATGTTATTCATGACAGATTTTCAAGTGATTGACTTAAAATTTGTAAGTAGTTATTTGGAACTGCTTATTTTAAGTGCTTGCATATTATAACTATTTATAAGCACATTTTCAGAAAACTTCTTTGTTGTTAAAAAATTTGAAAAATACTATCAATCACCTTGGACTTCCAGTTTCGCCTTTAACGACATCGGACGAGATAGTCCGTCGGTAAAAAGATGCTTGTCGTCGTAAAAAGGATAAACAACAGTTTTAAGTATAGTTGTTTTTATTTTCAACATCATATTTATCAAATCTTGATAACATATAATTTTTATTTAAGAGATACATTTATTGTCTTTTAACTGAAAAACAGTGAGACAAATGTAAACAAGTGCACATAAGCTTATATATTATTCATAAAATAATATTTTCCGAAGCTAATGCAGAGTGTTTTTAAAAAAAAGAAAAATCCTAATAATGTATTCTTTCGGTCCTAAATATAAAATCTCTTTTGTAGTGTAATTTATACTATAAAAGGAGTTTTATATTTAGAACTGGAGGAGTACTATAGAAAGGTAAAAGAGAGAATTACCAATAGGTCTGAAGAAAAAAATTTAATTATCAAAAAGTCTTAATAACAAATGACGAGGCCAAACCTCTTATCATTCTGTACTCTAAAACTTACTATTACTTATTTTTCATTTGTCAATAGATTTTAAGATAATTAGATCCTTTTTTTGAGGTCTGATTGTAATTATCTCAAGGCAAAACTCAAACCGATGCTGGTAAGATTGTGGTGCTCTGGTATTGGTAGGTGTGTGAGATAGGATAAGCACACTAAAACGCATATTGACTCTTTTCTTTCAACATCGCCCTTTTAAACAAATTTACCAGCCAGACTAACCTTTTTAATAATCTTATTTCCAACATTGGGTGATCTAAGACCCCCAATGCAATTTGCTAATTCAAATCAAATCTTGATGGTCTGATTTTTTGAAGTAAAACGGACATAAAAAATATTTTAAAAAATTACTTCCTCATGTCCTTTCTATAAAAACATATTAATTACTTTGTTTAGATTCAGAAAAGAAATTAAAATAATTAAGTGTAGAAAACTTATTTTCAGAATTAAAGTTGAATTTTATTATTATTATTATTTTTAAAACAGTGACCTATCTTTTCCTATTATGAGGAGATGACAGAAGTTGGCTGAAATGAGAATACAAAGATGCTAACAAGTTAACCCACTTAGACTGATCATTTTTTATGTTAGTTATCTAGCTATAACTAATGTAAAAAGGAAAAACCAAAAAAAAAAAAAAAGGGTTTTTGACTCACGTGAAAAGTGTTAACACACTGACTCTGGATATAAAGCAAAGATAACTAATTTACAAATATTTTAAAAAAATAATTTACTTTAGTTATTTATATCAAATATGTTATATTAGAACTATTATTTAATTTGGAGCTCCTTAATAGGTATCATCAACAAGAACATTTTAAGCAAAACATTATGAATTTGGGGAACAAAATGGATTGATGTCTTATATTTATGATCAAAATAAATTTCTTATTTAGCTTTTATATTTATGTCTGAAGATAGCATGAAGCAACAATAAAGTTTGATCCCAAAGAATGTGACCGGCATTAACTATTCAAATTCCATGAGATTAGGTAATTCTCCATTTATAGTGGATCAGGAGAGGAAATTAAAAGTAAATATTAATAGATCTCTTAATAAGAGAACAAAAGATCAAGGTAATCATTAAAAGATACAGATGTCCTTTTTTATATATATATATTTTAAATTATTCAAGTAATTGCGGCAAAGTAGAAAAAGTAAGAAAGTCAGGGTTAGGAAAAATCTATGTGATGATTAGATTCTATCCCAGATGGGATACATGTGTTTTTATTAGTATTCTTATTTTTTACCAAATGAATGAAAAATCGTCAACATTAGTATAATTCAGAGTGTGTGAATGTTGAGATCTTGTCTTGGATTTTCCACACCAACAAGACATCAATTCTTAAAGTGTTTGTTAAAAAAAGAAAAATAAAAGGACAAAAAAGTCAACAAAAATGATTGTGGTTCTTCTCATCACTTTCTCTGTCTCCTGATTGCCTGCAAGCAGGAATTAAGTGTTACAAAACCTGGTTTATCTAATATTATCACATTAATTAACTCTTAATTATCACATTAATTAATTATTAATTAGTTGTTGGACTTTGTGAAATGTATGTGACGGTTTAAACATGAGATCTTAAAATTAATTATCCAGAAATATAAAAGGCCTTTTTGTTGGGGGAAAACCTGTTTGAAAGTTAATTTTATTTGAAACTTGACCATATAAGAGTCTAACTTATTAAAAACACTCAATCCAAATAAGGATAATACTTATATCAAGTTTCTTATATTCATTATATCAATTTTTTCAATCACATCTGAAACAAAGAAAAACACGTGATAATGTATAGATATACTCCTTTTGTGCTATTTATAGGGTAGAGAGAGAAGGCTTTTTAATCTTATTTATAAGTCATTTCATTAAATTTTCAATGTGAATGTACTATTTTGTCCTTTATTTATTATAGTATAAATAGTTATCTTTTTTAAAAAGTATATATATTAAATACAGGTAAAATTGAAAAATTGTTATATTTTAATGGAGAGTTAATGCATTTTAAGGTGTTTTTTTTTGTTTGTATGAAATATGTTGAAAGTAACTTATAAATAGGACCAGAGGAATAACATATAAGCAACTTCATGAAAGTTTTTTCCTCCAAACAATAAATATTACAAAATGCGTAATTATCAATATCAATGTAAAAAAAACTAAAAATTTAATATCAAACTGTATTATTTATGAATTACCATAATAATATAATTAATTTTTACATTTTCTGTGTGTGCTAAAAAAATAAATCTACTTAATTTAAATGTGTAAATGAATGAAGTATTATGCAAGGGGCAAGCGTAATAAAATAAGGTGCTTTTGGGTCCTGTTTAGGCCGTAAAGCGCATTACTTTAGTTAATAAATGAACAAATCTTATTTAATAAATAACAAAAAGTGAAAAAAAGTGTCACTTTATGGGGGCAAAAGCCGATAGATCGTACCACCTTTATCATCGAATCTTATTAACAGTGATAACCAGATATTAAATTTGAAAAACAAAAGGCCATTAACAAATAATAAAAACACCCAAATTAAAGAAAAACCAGACAATGTGATATTTTTGGGACAAATAAAATTAATCCCTAAAAATTGTTCTCAATTAGTTCAACAGATCATTTCTTATAATTTTTTTTATCTCAATATATATAATTCAATCCCTATAATTTTTTTAGCACAATAAATTATGCATGCATTGAGTCAAAATTCAAAGGCTAAATTGATAATTAAGGATAAATTTAAGAGTTTAAATTAATTGTTCTTATAACAAAAGAAAGATGGACAGCTAAATGGGCAAACTTTTGAGGAGTAAAAGAGCAAGTTTGCTTTTAAGTTGTGACAACGAAGGCCCTCGTGGGTCTATGCATATTTATGTCTGAAACCCTGAATGTTTCAAACCAACACATTCTTTTTCTTTTTCTTTTTAGGGTTGGCTAAAGTGATTCCAACACTTTTAATATATGTTAGTTTGATAAAAGAAATATATGTGGTTGGTTCTTATAATTGGACAAAGGCAAGCTAGCTAGCTAGCTTCCTCGTCCTTAATTTATTTTAGAATAGAATTCTCTTATCACCAAAAACGTCTTTGAACATAAATAATTTTATTTGTTTATTTATTTGTAATTTAACAAATAGTTATGTTAATGAAAAAGATTATTCAAATGGGTTAGGGTTGTCATAAATGTTTCTTACAATTACTAGCTTAACCATGCCTCTAAATATTAGTATATTATTGCGATCTTAAAAAATCATGTTTCAATTTTATGAAGAATAATTTTAATTTTAAGAAGTAGTAGTAGTAATAATAATTGTTTCTAATAAATTTTTTATAGAAGAATTTTTATTTTTAGGATATTCAATTATTATTAATATATAGATTATTGACTATTGGCTATTATTTTCTCATAAAAGTTAATCTGAAGTCCAGATAAATACTATGGCAAGACAACTTGAACTTTTTTGAAACTATAAAATAATATCTATAATCAACATGAATATTTTTTAAATTCCCTAGCATGAAGAAAAGTTAATAAAGAAATGTGCCTAGTATTTTTTTTTCCTTCTTAAAATAGAGTTTGAAATCTGACCCACCAATATATAAACTATCACTAGCTATAGCTTCTCCCCAATGGTTGCACCGTCGATTGATTAAGGGACTATAAACTGATTTCTTTTATATTGTCCTAAGAAAGCAGCGTGATTTTATATATAATTAAGTAAGAAAAAAGATCTAGGCTTTAAATTAAAAAAATGATTATAGTATTTGAGGTCATTTGGCGTTATCATATCTATCTAGCAACCTACGATGATTGATTCATGGAATACAGCTATGAAGATCCCAAGCTGTAGACACAATTATACATAATTGTTGTTAACCTAGGATATCGTCAATTATTGCTAGGCTTGCCCTCTCAAAAAGGAAGAAACCAAAAGAAAATAAAATAAAAAATCAAGTTAAGACAACATCATTAGTGGACAAATACACACTCATTGCCAATTAAGCATGCAAGGAGAGGCTTGATTAATCAGGGAGATACTGATGAATTTTATGTTCCCTTCAGATATGAAGTATTTCTCCATTTCTAAATATAAGACTGATTTTGTAATATGTACTATGCACGGTTCGTTGGTAACTGCTAGTTTGATCAAGGAAGCCGCAGAAAACGAATATGCTAATGAAGGTTGCAGATTTGGTTTAGAGGAAGAGACCTATAATATTGTAGCTGCTCATGGTTATTTTAACCGATTGATCTTCTAATATTTACACTTTACACTATAAAATTGGTCTTGCATTTTAGGACCAGAGACTACATGAACAAACAATAGAAGTAAGCCTATGATAAAATATTATTTCATAATTTATTTTTTTGTATAATTAATTATTGGATATAATATTATTGGATTCGATTATCGGATTTAATTAAATGAAATAGGTCTCTCGCTTTATTTTTTTCTATCCACAAAAACCAAACCCCCTATCTTATAAGGATATCAGTCGCTTTCTTTTGACTAAATTATTACTAGCTATATTTAATTTTTAATCACATCATAACTATAATTAGCCATCACATTTGTATTATTAACAACATAAAGTGATCACCCCAAATTATTAGATTATTAGAGAGAAGGAGAAAAAATTTATGGATATAACCAAAGTTCTATTGGGATTCTTTCGTATTGTGCTGGAATGCACCATAGCAATCTTAATATATCGTTTTCTGTACATATGCTTCGAAAACTACTGATCAATATGATGACAGACAAAGTGAGAGACACACACAAGACGGAGAAAACAAAGAGAGACAGCTGTTTGATCCTTTTCTTCATTCTAATTTTCTCTCAGATAATTAATTCATTGGAACTATATTTGTCAACAAATAAATAAATGTCAAAGTTCATGCCACTTCACTTGAGAAAATTCAGACATAATTAAGCGACTTTTCTCTCCTTTACAAAAAAACGTGAGGAATACAGTTTTATGTATTATATATATTTATATTGATAATATTATTATATTATTATCAATGATATAGACATATATTGACATTGATTGACATTGCTACTTATTGTATGATTATTTTAAGTGGAAAAGTTATTTAATGATGTAACACTAAATTATATATATATGAGATAGTCTACAAGTTTTTTGTTTTTTTGAGACTTTGAACCCCACCCTCCCCCTAATGTTTCTAATTAACAAAAGCTACAGAACTTAAAAAAGACAGAAGCTGATCTAAGGAAATCTGGGGTCATATACACCTGCGACCAGCTAGCTAGCCAATAAATTAAAAGTGAGGCGGTAGTACCACACCTATATACCACTTTTTTCTTGGGAAAACTAATAAATAAGGTAAAAAAAGAAAAGGAAGAAAAAAAGAATGTGATTTTGTAGCAAATCAATCAATGTTGTTGAAGATTCTCTGTCCTGGCGATAGGATCATTCTCGGATCAAACTGATATTTTCTTTCTTGGAAATTCCTCCATTTGGCGCCAAAATGATTTGCCCATTCTTTCTGTGTTGTGTAGTGAGCAAGATATTGCTTCACTTTAATTCCAGCTTCCTCACAGAACTTTAATATGTCTCTATTTTGAACATCAAATTCTTTCCAATCTTCAAACCCACTTGAATGCAAAAATCCCACTGTGTAGAACACTTCCTCCTCTGGGATGCTCGCTGACATTTTATCGTTCCACCTGTATTAATCAATGAAGATTTTCCCTTTGTTAGGCTTCTTTGTTTTGAGAGGGGAAAATTATATATATATATATTTTAAACTTAGAATTGAGTGTGAATCTGGACTTACTTGCTTCGGTTCATGGGATAAACTAAGACGGGTCCATTGGTGATGTTTCGTTTGAAGATAATATCCTTAAAAACCCCAGAATCAAAATCATGGATTCTAGATTTGGGTATAAACATGTTTAACCATGGATGTGGAACATCCCATAATCCTTGTGATTGAAGTTTTAGCTCTCCACTTCGAACTCTATTCAAGAACCCCACAAACGAGACATTTTTCTCGTAGTAAAATCCAGGAACATAACTTAATCCTTGGAGCAATTCTTGCAGTTCCTACGCACACAAATACAAAGAAAGATAATTAAACTTTGTGTTCATTGCTAGCTATCTATTTCTCTCTCTCAGAAGATTTTAAACTTTGCATGTGAGAACAAAAAGTTAAAATAGGATGAATTGAGTGTGCGTGTGTGTGCAGACCTACCTTGTCAACAGTATGTTCAGAATGTTCGTCATAGTATTTGGCGACTTCGAGGCAGTAGAGGACGCTGTGTTGAACAAGCAGGGAAATAATTTTAGGGTGGTCTGATAATGGAAAGAAAGAGGATCTCCAATTATTGATGGGTCCTTGGTGCATCAGAAGCATCCCTTCCAAATAATCTAACGCATTATCATCTCTCTTCTTTCCTCCACTGATTGAGATTAATCGCTCTTGATCTCTGGTGAAGTGAGAGAAATCATTATAAATCACTCTGACCCACTTAACCTGCGCGCGGAACACAAATCTCCATCATCAGACTCTGCTAAATCTTAATGCAATAATGCATGCATGTTATATATATATATATATATATATATTTATAGACACAAATTGTTTATTCAGTTATTCCCACCGTTTTTTTTTTTAAAAAAAAAAGCAAAGTCGGAATACTGTTGAATTTTCAATGGTGGGTTCAAAACTCGTAATTTGGTAAATACGTGTAGCAAGTACAGACATGCAGAAACGGAGAATAAACTGTGTGAATGAGATATGAGAGTGTGAAAAAAAACCAGGGAACACTGTGATTTTTGGGAAAAGGACAGATTGCAGAGTTTCAATAAATACGAGAGTTGAAAAATGTGAGGAACAGAGTTTTGACGTTATATATGAACGTAATGAATAGTTTGAAGAAATAAGGGTAGCTAGCTAGGAGACAAAGTGGCAGTCAATTCTCCTGCAAATAACATATTATTTATACATATATATGTATATATAACGTACTCGTTTTGGAGCTGGCCGAAGAGCGATTCTTGCCCTTGCTATGATCCCAAATTGTCCCAAACCTCCAAGAACCCCATGAAAAAGTTCTGGGTTCTTCTCTGGCGAGCAGGCTAATAAGTCTCCTTTTCCTGAATCATAAAATTAGACGCTTTAATAATTAATCATCACTCTATATATATATATTGTTAGTTGCATGCATGTATAAAATTTGTCTTGGTTTAGGTATTTCAGTTTTGTATTTTTTTCTTTTTTTTTTTAAAAAAAAAAGTTGACCAAACGCGACTTGAGAGCCTAAATAGTCTGCTTGATCTCAATTATATATTATAGAATAGCTTAATAATTTAATATTAGTGAATAAGATATAACAAAGGTGGGCTATGACCGTGGAAACTGGCGCTTGATATAGAATTGTTCAAAGAGGGGGGGCCCTGATGAAACACAGCAACATCCACCAAATTTCCAGAAAACGAAATCATCACGAAAAGTCTTTTTAACAGAATATGGGAACCCAAGAAGAAAGTGAGCGAGTGAGTACAAATGAAATTTTTAGTTTTAAAAAAGTATGTCTTTTAGTACTTTAACCAGTCATCTCAAATCAGTCTATTTGCATTCATACGACTAAGTTGATTAAAATTTAATATTGTTGGTATTATGGAGAGTAGTAAATTGATTAAATTCTCGGAGAAAGCGACAGCTTCGTTTGTAAATTTTTTTTTTTTAAAGAGTAGTTCATACCAGTGATGACATCCATTTCATGGACATTGCTGATCTGCGGTCCGTAACGGAAGGTCTGGCCGCTGATGCCGGCGTTAGAGAGGGTGCCGCCGACGGTCAAGTACAGATAATCCGTCCACGAGGCCGGTGCAAGTCCGTGTTGAAGCGTGGCGTGGAGCACATCAATCCAGAGCTGTTCACCTCCGACGTCGGCGTAGTAACCGACGGAAGGGTCATGAAAGACGGAGCCAATTCCGGAGCCAAGCCTTTGTCGCCGGAGAGCGGACATGTCAACGACGACGCCGTTGGGAGCCATGGCTTGGCCGCGAGTGGAGTGGCCCTGTCCTCTTGCGGCTATGCGGAAAGGAACAGAGCTGCTGTACGAAGATCGTATCAAGCTGATAATGTCGTATATGGAAGATGGATGAAACACAGCGAGAGGAGACTGACGAAAAAGATTTCCATAGTCGCTCGAAGCTAAATTAATGGCTTCTGGGTCGTCACGTAGCCTGTGGGATATATTTGAAGGCACCAGACTTGGCCCTGTTAGCTCAGTTTTTCCCAATACAACGTTAGATGAAGAGAAATGTGGAAAGTTGGTCAACTATCGTCAATCGTGAAACTAGTGTGCGCCTTATTTTTAATATTGAGAAAAAGGTACAGATTACTATTTTAGGATTTGAGGACGGTCAAAATCAGGTAATTATCAGAAAGATCTAATGATAAGATTTAGGTTTTTTTTTTCTTTTTTCTAGGGGGAGGTATGTATGTTGGTGATGAGGAGGAAGAAGAAGAAGAAGAAGGAGAAGATAAGAATCCAAGTGCTTTAGAATTCAAGGAAGGGCATATAATGTCCGAAAAATGAAATTTAACTGAAGGAGACATGAAATCAGATCTCGTTCTGGCCAGATTGTTTGTGACCATCCATGCCAACATGTAATCAATGAAAAGTCAAGCTTCCCAATTGGTACTATAATTATACCCACCCATTTCTTGTCTCACTATATAGCTAGCAATACCACTTCATTAAAAAATCACCATACTCATTTTTCCTTATTATAATTAAAATTATCTTATCACATATATATATATATTAAAAATATGTCCTTCTTTCAAGTGTAAAATGTAGAGAGGGTTCATTATCATTAGTTGGCTAAATCCTCATTAAACTATCTAACCAAGTTGCACTATGTACTTTTATTTTGCCAACTTTGTGTGTGTGATGAACATAGCTAGCCGCTAAACAAGGCCTACTTCGTATAATTAATAATGTAATAAGGAGGCATTTTTATGTCTAAATAAATAACAACTAACAGATGGCCTGCATTAACATTAATATGGGGGGAAAATATAATACCATGCCATGCAGACGCAAGCTAAGGGAGAATCCAACTGATCATTAACATTAAGAATAGATTATACAATTTTGGAGGTAGCTAAGGGTTAGCTTTTGAGGCATCTGAAGATCTAGTTGGTGCAATTTGAGTAATATATATAATTATATAATAAATACGGCGTACACATATAACGCTAATAAGAAATGTGAAAAAGGAATGTCGAAAACTAACAAAAGAAATCTATCTGTACCAAATAGTTGGTTTAGGGGGGTGGCTAAAATTTTAATGAATTAATTGATGAAACAGAGACGAAGGCAAAGACAAGCACGCGATCTCCTCAGGTCTTGAACGAATATTTTGATTGGAAGAAGTGGGAGAGTGATAAATTAGACTAATTAAGAAGAAAGGGTTTTTGTTCAAAGAACAATCTTTGACCCAAAGATATCGCAGGTAGGGGTAGCTATCTGATGGCCAGACCCTCCACCATATATATATAAATATAATATATATATATATATAAAGTGCATGGCTGATATATCAGTAATATTATTATTAGAACAATATTAATTAATTATCTCTATTTTAATGCTTGCCTATTAAGATTTTAAGATAGATCTTTGATAAAAAAAAAAAAAAATACATGTGCCATGCATGACCAATAAATGACAAAAATTAATGACTTAATAAGTCCAAGCCAACTTCATTATTATGCTGTCCATATTCTAACTCGATCGTGTCCTTAGATTTCAAATGAATGCATGTGGCATTTATAAGTTTCGTGAGAAAATACCTTCCCACATGCCCTAACAGTGAAAGTTAGGTCTTCTTCTACCTAAAGAAACACATATTTTTGGGGAAGAAAATGTGGGAGAAAACATAGCATGTTATAGATTTGTGTTTCGTCCTTTTTAAAAAGAAAATTAAGATATGACCACTTATACTAATTAGAATCCTCTGGACATGTTTTGGTGGAAGCCAAATTCAACTGGGGAAAATACAAGAGAGATGTACCAATTCATATAGGAGGTGGCACCATTAACGACTGATATTGTGAGTTTGACAATTTATAGTGAATTATTATGAAGAGCAATAAACATATACAATGAACTTACACTGGTCCAATATTTCGGAGGAATCCTTATAATGGCTATAGTAAAACCATAAGCATCATCTTCATCATTATTATCCAAAAGGTTAATTTGTGTTCACAAGATAGAAGACATATGTGGATCGATCTCATCGAATGAATCTGGACTTCCTAGCTTAAGTTTTTGTTGTTTTCTGGAGGGTTAAGTATTCAATAATTCTGACAAAACAACAACGACAGCGAGTTTGATTTTTCTTCTCTTTTTCTTTACTAAACATCACTCAAATCTAGCTGTGCCAATACCATGCATATGATCAGACTTTCCTTCTCTAATTTCACAATTACTTATGTCAATCTCGTGACACTATATATATATATATATATATATCTCTCTCTCGAGACAATGACATATATATTATAAAAATAGAACAGAGATGTCAAGTGATCGAGTTTCTTATCTGGTTTTCCTTTTACGGAACAAGTTCAGCAGCACATAAAGTTTGTTGACGATGGCAAATACAAAATGTCTATGAGAGAGAGAGAGGATTTTGTGCAGCAGAAGGGTAAATAGAGAGAGAGAAAGGTGGGGGGCACTGCTAGTAAGATATCGAAGATCTTTATGGGGACCAAGGGAGGGTAGAAAAGCCACAAGATCACGTGGATATAAGAGAAACAACAACAAAAATATACCCTTTAATTTCCAACTCCACAGTGCTAACACAGAGCCATACCTCATGTCACTTTGATTGTTGTACATGGCGTATAGTGCAATAATATAGATCGCCGTACGTGCATGGATTGGGGCTTGAGGCATGTGACCATGAGAGAGAGAGCGATCATTTAATTTCTTGCCCTATTCGGTTCCTCTGATATGCACCTTTCACTTCTCATTTTGAAAGTTGTGAAAATGGCAAATCCATCATTAAAGTATCATCTTGCACCCCAAATCTCCTCCCTCCAACATTTTCATCTCATTTATCTCTTTCATTAATAATGCTTTCTCTTGGCATTTTCTGCCATTCCTGTGACCCTGAGCTTCCACCTTCTTTGTTATGGTTTGCTCAAAATTAAAGCTAGCAAAAACAGGGGAGCATAATACTCCTCAGTTCATTTCTAACGACTCGTGGAAAACATACATACATACATATATATTCAAATCTTAACCAAAAAAAGAAGAAGAAAAACCCCTCGCCATAGATAAATCGTATTCGTATAACTCAATAGTTCTTTTTATGTATATCACATTTAGTGGAACAGATTTGATAGTATGTTTGTTAATTTTAATCGTGTTCGTCAACGTTCAATCGCGTTTTATTTCAATTTATATTTAAATGTATATCAGAAAAAATAGTTCGCTTTTAATATTGTCTAAAATGTCAAGTCTCAACTAGGAATAGTATAATTGGGTAACATGGCCTGAGATTAGTTGATATGACCATGTTAGTAACACTACTGCTGAATTATACATTACATGACTACTTTGAGTAATTAATATGAAATTGTGTTTACTTTTATGGCAGATTTTATTGACAAATGTGCTTTTAATTAATAATCACGCATCAACTTCTCTTCAAGTTCTAATATTCAACATTTGTTAAAAAGATATATACAAGATGGCAATTTTGAATAATTAAATTACGCACCTTGTGTGAAACTTTATTCTAGTAACACTAGCGAATCAGACATGTTCGAAACCTATTATATGAGACATATACCAGGGACTTTTAAGGATTGATATATAATTGTTCATGATAAACTAAAGGAAAATTATAGAATGCAATAGATATCATACGATCGAAGTACTTAATTGCAAAACAACAAAATAATTCGCCAAAAGCTGAGACATGTTCGGAGGTAATCAAAACTCTCTCTACGCCGAGAGGCAAAATCATGCACGAAACAATCAATGATTGTGTTACTGTCGACAAATACTCAGACATCATCAACACCCTAATTAAATATTTTTGATATCAAGTTAAAGTAAATGTAACAGCTAAGCCCCAC